TGTTCAGAAACCTGCTCTGCTGCTGGTCCAAACCTGGAGGCTCAGTTGTAACACTTTAAAATGAGTCTTAGAACACATAACTATGGAGAACATCAAATACACGTAGAGAGCAGAAAGCTCATGCCCTTGTGCTATGGAATAGAGCTTTTGGGGTTACACAGTTTTTCTTTGCCTAAATTCTTCTAGAGCTCATCTCAAGAGTTACTAGTCCACAGGAAACACCTCCTCTGCTCCTTCCACACAGTCCAGAAGTAGGACAGCTTTCCTAAGCACAATCTGAACACTGCTAGCATATCTACAGGGACAATCCTCTGTACCTTCTAAGATCCCAGACTGCTCCTCCTCTGTCATGTTCTTAACTCTTCTCCCCCTACCCAGACCCCTCCTCTTCCTCTTATTTCCTCCCTCCTGCTCCTTCTCATTCTCCTTTTCCTCCTTCTTTTTCAATCTCTTCTCTTTTCTCCCTCATGCTTCTCTTTCTCTCCTCTTCCTCCCTCCTGCTCTTTCTTTTCACTCTCCTCTTCCTCACCCTTCTTTTCTTTCTTCCCCTCTCCTTTTCTCTCTCTCTTTTTTTTTTTGTGGTACTGCATAATAACCCCAAACCCTTTTTTGCTTATCATTTTTATTTCAAAAGATTTCTGTTTTAAAAAGTATTCTTATTATTTATTAGTGTGTGTGTGTGTGTGTGTGTGTGTGTGTGTGTGTGTGTGGTTTTGTTCATGTGAACACAGGTACCCTCAGAGAGCCAGAGGTGTTGGATCCCCTGGACTGGAGTTGTAGATGTGGGAGTTAGAAACTGAACTTGGGTCCTCTAAAAAGCAGTGAGTGCTTTTGACCACTGAGCCATCTCTCTGGCCCCAAGATTTTTTTTTTTTAAAGAGTTTCTTTTTCTAAGTTGCCTAAGCAGGTTTAAGCAGAACAACCTCTTGCCATTCAGCTCTCAGGTGTCTCCCTCCTTTTCTCTCTCTTTCCCTCTCCTTCTCTCCCTGGATTCAGGGTCTGCATCAGTTACTTTTCTGTTGCTGTTCTTAACACTACGACCAAAAGAAATTTAAGGAAGAGTTCAGCTTAAGGTTCTAGTATGACTGGGGGGAGAGGGGTGGGCAGGGGCATGGTAGCAGGAGCCGACCCAGCAAACTGGAGAGGCACTATACTCTTAGTGCTAATTCCTCAGGACCTGTAAAGCCAGCAGCTGGGGTGCAGGGCGCAGCATGCTGGCCTGTGCCTTGTATGGTGGACTAGCTGGCTAAGTGCTGCAGAATTGAAAGAGAGGGATACAAAAGCATCCCAGCCACTGGATTCACAGCTCCTAGCGAAGTGGCTGCTGCACAACAGTGGTTCTCAACCTGTGGGTGGTATGACTCCTTTGGGGGCCGCATATCAGATAGCCTACATATCAAATATTTATGTTATGATTCATAATAGTAGCAACATTACAGGGAAGTAGCAATGAAACCATTTTATAGTTGGGGGTCACCATAGAATAAGGAACTGTATTAATGGGTCACAGCAGTAGGAAGCTTGGGAACCACTGATTTAAAAGACTGGGTTAAAGTCCAGGATTAATGGGGAAAGGATAGAGAATTTCAGCCCAGAATACCTCATGTGAGGACTGCACGTGTTGACTCCCTCCCCTCTCCCAAACTAGCACCAGAAAGTTGGCTATCCCACTACCAACCCCAGTAAGAATTTACTACCCTAACAGTTATTAGGCCTTACTCCTTGTTTGACCTTATAAGGTTTTTTGTTGTTTGTTTGCTTGTTTGTTTTTTTTTTTTTTTGTCTCAGAACTCCTACCCCCTGAGTATGCAGATGAAGTATCTTTCATCTATTCTGTTCTGGCCACACAAACCTTGACCCAGAGACCCTACCCACCTGCTCAGGGACATAAATACTCCCTGCCCCCACCAATAAATGGAACCCATTCCCTGAAGCTGTTCCAGGGTGTGTGTGTGTGTGTGTGTGTGTGTGTGTGTGTGTGTGTGTGTGTTCTTTGTCCTCACATTCACTGCTGATGAAGGTCCTGCACTCATCCCTCCAGCTAAGCTTCCCTTCTAGTCAAGCCTGGTATAAATGGGCAGCTTATTCCTAGGTAGAGAAGTGGACACTGGGTGGCAGAAGACTGTTAGGGCATTTTCTTCCTCCCCTTCCTGAGCTAAGATCCCTGCTCAACTTTGGAGGCCTGTGAGAGCATACAAAAGCTCTCTTCCCATTTCTTCTCCCCGACCGAAGCCAGGCACATCTAGAACTCAGAGACTGGATTCTGAGGAATTCCAGACCTCAGGGACCAGACCACAGTGATGAGGCAGTAGAGTGCTGCCAGCAGGTAAAGGCTCTTGGGGATAAAGAACGGAATGTCATTGAGATCAGCTCCAGAGTGCAACCACTGTGCCATTCCCGTATAACTGACAGACCCCTGACCTTTCCAACAGCTGGCACTCTACAGTCCTGCTGCAGGATAACCTGGGGAGAGTAAACATGACTAGACCTGGCACAGCAAGTGGCTTTGGGTCTGAGTGTACAAGGGCCTGATGGTTATCGCTGGTTTGCAGCTTGCTGTGGGATGATCAAGCGGTGCATTGGCATCAGTGACCACAAGGAAGTGGACCTGAACACAGCCACAGGTAGAGTCATCAGACCCAGCTACTCACTCCATAGAAGCCTCCCTCTACTAGCCTTTCAGCCTGGGGTTGTGGAAGGGTCCAGTTCTTTCGACATTATGTTCTTAACAGAGGAAGGATGCTCTTCATTTATCCATGAAGACAGCTGACACCGACACATCCCTTTCTCAGCAAACGGGAGATCCTGCTGCCCTTCAGCTCCCAGCCTGTGGTCTCCTTGAGGACAAGCCTGTGTCCAAGGTCCACACGCAGCAAGGTTCCCTGCGCCCTTGAGGGAGACCTACATACCAGTTCCTGCTAGCGCTGGTGGGATGCTTTCCAGCCTGGAGTCCAGCTTGCTATGGAGGGGTATTCCTGAGCTTGAGGCTCTGGTAAGCCACCTCAGCTCCTCACAGTCTCCAAACTTGCTGGGGACAATGGTGGGTGGTATACAACTTGGATCTGCTCTGTGCACCTGGTGAGAGTAGAGCACTGGTGGGAATGTGGGGTGCAGGACAGCATTCCGGGACCACCAGAATATGGAGCATAGAAAGGGAAGGAGAGCTTCAGAGCCTGTAGGCCCTGCCAAAGGGAGGTGAAGCTTCTGCAAGGAGGGAACAACTCGTAGGGTAGGACTCTTCCCACTATGCCATTCCAGGGGGCAACAAAGGGAAAGAATGACCAGAGCATGCCTATGACGTGAGCTCCTGGCCTTTGGTTTGTCCTGAAAACCAATATCCTTGGCAGCTTTGGAAACTGTTTTTCAACTAACCTTCAAGACAGTCAAGAAGGGGACATTGTCTCTATCTGTGAAAGGGCCTGTAGGGATATAAGGCCTTCCCCAACCCTGGGTTTCCAAGTGGTACCTGGACAGTCCAAGTACCAAGCTGTGCCATTCACTCTCCACAATGGCATGGTGTTCTGTGCTCTTCAACCTGCATTCCTGGTCCCCATTGCCCTTGACCCCTGCCTTTCAGCGTGCCACCATTCAGAGTCAGGGACAACCAGAGGATCCACTGGGGATAGCCCGTTTGGGCCTGACCCCTTTCAGCTCTGAGTTCTATGGAGACTGAGGGCATGGCTCTGCAGCTGGTCTAAAAATGCTCAAGAGCCTGAAGTACAAGGCACTGCTGGGCCAGCAGGGGCTTCCTGTTGTTGCTGCTTTCAACAATGCCAACCTGGGTAAGCACCTGATGAGCAGCTTCTAAGGGCCAGGCCATACTTTCTGTTCCTGGGCTCCTAGAGTGAAGCAGGTTGCAGGGAGCTGTAATTAGCCACATATTGTGTGTCCAGAACCCACCATGTGATGCTCACAGTGTCAGAGACAACAGCATTGGTGGCCACAGAAGTGGCTAGTTGCTTAGACAACAGAGGTGGAGTCTTTATGCTCTCTGAATGCTGCGCTGGGCTAGTCACACTCCCAAGAACGGTGCAGATGCAGGCTGGCTAACTGCTGCTCAGCACCATCCCTGCTCTTGCAGTGAGCATCTGTGAAGCATCTGACAGTCTGTAAAGAACCCCATAGAAGGCAGAGGGGGTAGTCAGCACAGCCTGAGGGCACATCTGTGCTTGGGCAAGCCAACAGGGAAAGGGGCTTAAGACACATCACGGGATGTGCCTGCTGGGTCCCCAGGAAGGATGGGGACTAAGGATGCCCTTAGTCCCCCACTTAGCACCTGGGACACTCCTGAGGAAAGCACAGTTGAGATGATTCTAAGTGTGTCCAGAGCTACAGTCCAGAGAGGGAGTTTAGTAGGAACCGTTCCTGCCTAAAAGCCCCAAAGCATCCACAAAGGTGCCACAGCAAAGCCAGGGGCTTCAGTGAGGATCCTGTTCAGTCTGAGGTGGGTAACACGCGGTGAAGAGCTTCAGCTCTGAGTGCAGACACACAGGGATTCTCAAGTGGCAGGGCAGGCTAGGCAGTTTGTAGTGTGACTCTGCTCGCGCGGGTACGCAGACCTAGAGAAAGGTATCTCCAGGAACATGCCTGGTCACAGTGACTCTTCCTTCATACTTCTTATTTACTGTTACTGTGTACTCACATATTCACATGTGTATGTGTATTCTTGTGTATACATACATACACGTGTGAGAGTGCAGTATACGGTATGCATTCAGGAGTCAGAGGACAACCTTGTAGTCACTATCTCTCTCCATCTTCCGTGATTCTGGTGATCAAACTCCATTCTTAGGCTTACACAGTAAGCACCTTTCCCACTGAGCCACTCGCAGCTGGCTGCCCAGCAGGCCCCACCTACATGCTTTCCCAGCTCTGGGGAGTTGCTAGTGGAGGCTAACTGCCCTTGGGAGGAGGGGATCTAGCTTTCTCTTGTTCTTCTCAGTTAAGAGGAGACAGCGTCTTCATTTTTTAAAATTGCTATGATAAATAAAAACAACAAACATTTTTGAAATTTTTATTTGGTGTTAACTCCACAAGAAAACAAAACAAAACAAACAAAAAAAAATCAGTTACTCTGGTGTACGTGAAATCAGAACAATACAACCACGGGAAAAAAAAAAAAAAATCTCAGCCCAGGAATGGAGCTGATACTTCAGTGCTACGGATATGCAACGCGCTTCATACCACGGTGCGTTTCAGCGTTTGCCAACTTTTTTAATGCTTCTTTTGTGATCATCCATTCATGAAACTAAAACCACACTTCAATCTTGTGCCAAAGCCTCTGGGCTTCAGCCACTTAACTACAAAAAGAAACCAAACACAGAATCTAGTCATCCCTTTGCCTTTGATGACCCAGCGCAACCCCTGTGGGGGCCTCTCCCCACAGCTCAGGAGGGAGGTGTCTTTGCCACCTGGAGCCCTTTCCTGATGAACACTGGCTGTCCAGGTCACCCAAGCTCACGGCTGAGTATGAAATCCATTTGGTCATAGCAACAATTTCTAGGGTAATCATGACTGCATTGATTTTAGGAATTTACAACTTCTGATCCTTTCGCTTTTGATGATAGGTTATATTTCAGTGCAGATGTTAATCAAATTTTAGGAAGCTCCAGAAGAAAAACATACATAAAACTTATCTGATGTCTGTAAATAAGTAAGAGCAACATGAAACCTTCCACATGCACACACGCACACACAAGCCACTGTAAAGTGTCGAAAGATGTGCTGTATGAAAACAAGCCCTAAGGTGGCAAGATGCCCCAGCCAGCAAGCCAGCCTGCTCGTGATGAGGATGCACAGAAATGCAGGGACTGCACAGCCTCCAAGATGTTTCCTGTTTTCCTGAAAAACAGGCAACAAATCAAGTACTACTGGCAAGGCCTGAGGGGCAGCTCCACTCCCAGCTAAGAAGCCACCCACATGTCTAGTGCTGCCCCACTCACTGGTGAGGCCAGCTCAACTACTTTAGACCTCTAGGCCATTCCTGATGCTCTGGACATGCTGAACTCATGTCACAGAAAGGTGTTTTTAAAAGCAAGTTGGTTAAAAAGAGAAAAATAATTTCGGATGTTTAGGTTTTGCACAATTGGCCCTCCTATCGCCTATGGCAGTGCCACAAGAGAGAGCTCAAAGAGGTGATCAGCACAGTTAGATGTAACTGTGTGAGGCAAGCCGCCAGCCTGCTTCACCAAGTCACATGAGGCAATGATCAGAACAGCAATCACACAGGTACGTGGGAAACTCCTCTACCCACCCCAGCCCACCGCAAGCAGAACTTGCCCAAAACATTCTCTCAAACACAAAATGAGATACAAGCTATACTACATCACAGCCACAAGAGCAGCTAGCTGGAGCAGCCAAAGATTTCTTTGGGGTAATGAGGTGGCCTCACTGCATGTCAAATGTTTTTAAGTTCATTTGGCGACTTCAATGTAGTCACCAGAAGATAATTTGCAAGAAAGGTCCGCAACTACGTGCTGGGAAGGCAGCTTAGAGAACCCTGCTGTGCCTGCCATGGATGTGCTGCAGTAGCAGAACTCACCCCATCCACCACCCCATGCCTCAAATCCTTGGCTTCTTCAGCTAGCAAGAAAGTCACAAGCCACAGTATCTTCCATGGTACTTTAGGGGATCCTAAGAGAGAGCACAGTATTCTGTAAGTCTCTAAAGCACACCCTTGTGTTCCTACAGCAGTGTCCACGAGATCTTCTGAATGAGCCTGCAGATGAGTCACCATGCTTCCCTCCTCCTTCAGCAAGGCCCTGACCCACTGCAGGGGAGGACTGATCTCCTGGCTCAGAGAACAGAGCTAGAGTCTCTGGACGGTGGCGGTTGTTGTCGCCATGGTGCTGACAAGGTGATGGCGACACAGCCGCCAGAAGGAGGCCTGCAGCTGCGATGCAGAAGCGGGACGCGCTAGGACAAGCACATGCACACCCATTCCTCACTGGACAGCACAGTCTAGTCTACTTCAGAGAGCAAGAACTTAACAGCTTGGAAACAAATCTTCAACAGGACAGCCGTCCTCAACGCTAAAATAAGCAAGAAGAGAAAGGTAATCACTGATGCGGATCAGTTAATCGAAGAAGAAACCTAAGTTGCTGCTTTAGACTAACAGGCCTCACAGAAGGCAATTTCCCATCACAGCATTTTCAATGACTGGTACTACTCTGCAGGGTCAGAGATGTGTTCGGGAGAAGAGCTCCTCTCTCCTGGGGCCCACCCGCTCTCCGCCGGCTTCGGAGCCTGTGTCGCCTGTGTCAGAGCTGGTGCTGGAACACATCTTCCTGTGGAGGCCATTTGGTTTTGCCTCAGAACCTCTCTCTCCTGTGCATCTTGCTTCATAAACAGAAGACACCTACAATTCAAGAAACAATTTTCAATATACCAAAAATCAGAACCCCCCCCACAAAGGCCAAATCTATTCATAGACAACAGAGATGAAGTAGGAATCATTGATATCTCCTACAGAAAACTACAAAGATGTGAAGTCGCAGTGTTTCAGAGGGAACCATTTCTCCTTTGTTCTTGAAGGATCCAATCCTAATTCTACACATCTAGTCACAAGAATCTCTGTGGCCACACTAGGGTAGGACAAAGGGACTCCTTAACTCTCAACAGGTCTTTGAGAACCTGGTTCAGGGTAGCCCACGAAGCCTTGCGTAGGCTCCCCTGGGAAGACAAACATGGTCAGTCCCATGGTGCTCACAGTTCAGCACACAAACCAACCAAAGGACATAGCTTCAGACTGTAGACATGAGGATGACTAGGTAAGGGGCACTTTGGACAGGAGCAGCACGCTCCAGAAGGTGGCACTCTTGAGCAAAGTGTTCTCACTGCAGTTCAGCACCACCTAGTGTGGTACAGCGCATTTCTTCATGTTTACAGGAAGGCTGGCATCTGGGGCCCCAAGGATACTAGATGCCAATGGTAGCCCTTTCACCACTTACAGCAACTAGCAACACCTCCTAGTGCATCACGACATCCACCACCGGCACCACCCTATCACAGTCCCAATTTTTGATCCCAAGGCAGAAGCACAGAAAAGCTACGTGAGAGCAAAGCACACAAGGCTTCCCGCCATGGAAGGAGTCTGGATTTCTTCCAAGTACACAGCGTAGGAGCATGGGTCTTACAGCCAGACTATAGGGGCAGGCCGCCCACGTCTGTGTTCCTTCTCCAGATGCTTCCATTTTGTACTCTGCAAATGGGTATGCCAAGAATACTTAGTGCATAGGGGTGTTTTGAGGGCACTGTCTTGTTGAATAGAGATGATTGTCAAGGACAAGCAGAAGCAAGGACAAGAAAGGCTGTGGCTGCTGTTGAGGAGTGGCAGTGGTCTGAACTGTGGAAAGGATGGTGTGGAGGAAAGAGGTGGATGGAAGGTGGAGGGGAGGTGCATTAACAGGCTGGCAGACACACTGCATGTAGAGGTGAGAGGAAGAGACAGGTGGCAGGGTAGCCATTCCCTGAAGGTGGAAGGCTATGCGGAGGCCTTGCATGTGGGCCTAGACATATTAACACAACCTGATAGGTCAGTGGGATTAGTGCCACATGGTGCTTTGGCAAATTCTTACAGAGCTTGAGTTAACATTGATAACTCTGAGAAGAAAATAAGTTTCCTTCAATTCACTGGTCCTAACCTGACTAACAATGGAAGGCCTGAGACCTTACTTCAATTCATCGGTCCTAACCTGGCTAACAATGGAAGGCCTGAGACCAAGCTAAAAGTAGGTCAAGGTCGTGAATGTGCCTTCATAGTGCTCACAGGTTTGTTGGGGAGACAGAGGAGTCTGAAATGGTGGGACTCCACTCTGAGAGTGTACAAGAGCACAGAAAGGGCAGGGTCTGTTCCGCATAGGTTGGAAAAGCACCCTTAAAGGAAGATGCTGCTCTGGGATTGGACAAGGAGCAGCAGGCTTAGCACAGCACTTAAAACCCCCTGTGCCAGCAGCAGAGAGAAAGCTGGAGGGATACCAGCAGCTCTTCATGAAGGCCTGGCAACATTAGAGCTTGGGAGTGGGGTGAAGTAGACCCAAAGGAAGGGTCAAGAGGAGAAAGGCAACACCCATGGATCTGGGAAATACGGGGCAGGGATGGGTCATAGGACTCCCCAAGTTTGTGACTAGAGTGGTAGTGAGGAGGACAGTCCACTTACCCTATTAAAATCTAACAGACGCTCTTCATGACTGGGTGTCTCTTTAGCATCTGGATATTCTTCTATACCATTCTCTCCCTTGGCATTTGTATAACATTCTTAATCATTTTGAATGGAGAAGGGAAAAGAGGGAAAGGGGGAAATTCAATTAAGACAGTTGAAACACACACCCTTGCTTTACCTCACTGAAAAGCTAGGCCTCCCCACCCTCTGGAGGTTTGTCACTGAAAGCATAGCCAGCCTGGAGTGTATGAGAAAACATGATGCCAACTGAAAACTTTCAGCCATGAGTATGTAATGAATAATAATAAAAACCAGGCCAGCATATGCATATTCTACTGTAAAATATTATCTCAACAATTCAACAAATATATACACAGACCTATGATGTGATGGTCCTGGGACACAGGCAGAAAGACCCGTGAGACCTGTGCTCTCAAGAATGAGTGTCAAGCGGAGGGAGATGAACGATGCACCACAGATATGCTCATGGAACAGGAGCAAAGGTTCCAGACAGCCAGCCCAATGAGAAAGCAAAGCAGGTAAATAGCTGTCTGCTCTGACTTAACACCATGCCCATCACAGCCTGTAATACCTGTGTACTGGGCAAAGGAGGCTCATGGTCCAGTTGGCCAAGGCCCACAGAATCAGAAGGCAATGTAGACTGGAGTTAAGAGGAATACAATTCACATAGTTTGAGGAATCCAATCCACTAGCAGGTTCAACTGTGCTTCACCCATGTTGATATTATTCAGCTACCTGGGGAACTTTGTAAAGCCTATGCCCCAGGAGACTGACCATCAGTCCTTCTGAGAAGCTTCCAGGTGACTCCTGAGCACAGCACCCATGCTGAGCCTAGCCTTAGCCTAGCCTAGCCTCTTACCCCCTGACCCCATGAAGAAGGTGAATGATGGAGTCACTGAGGATGGAGACTCCAACCAGGCTCGTTTAGACCTACCTCTGGTAAGAGCTCAGAAATGTTAATCCCTTGCATCCCTGCTTGCTGGGGTTACACCAAAGTTGTCAATGGGATGTTATTTGCTATGGGTTTGCTCCATAACTTTCCAGTCCTGGGCATTGCTCTGAGTGACAAAGGCCATAGTAAATGCCAGGTTCTGCTTCTTATCTGTGACATGACTTTCCAAGCCACACCCCTTACCTCTTTAAAATAGAAGGTGGGCTGGAAAGATGACTCAGAGTTTAAGAGCACTGGCTGCTCTTCCAAAGGTCCTGAGTTCAATTCCCAGCAACCACATGGTTGCTCCTAGCCATCTATAATGAGATCTGGTGCCCTCTTCTGGCATGTAGACAGAACACTGTATACATAATAAATAAATAAATCTTTAAAAAAAGAAGAAAATAGAAGCAACACCATCCTCTTAAGAAAGGTGCTTAAAAGAGGGGCCGTGGCAGGAAAGGTGGCTCTTTTCTGGTTCAGGAACGCTACTGAATAAAAGAACGTCCATCTTCACACCTTCATTCAGGGCTTTGGCAGAGAAACACGCTGAGCTTCCATGTTTCCGGTAATGCCCCTAGTGACAGCTACTGCTTGTTGAGCAATCACTGCATGTGGGTTACAATTATAGGCACCTTGCCTGATGAAGAGGCATGTTTATTTCTCATAATCACCCCAATAGGAATGGTTTCCTTTTTATAAATTCAGACAATAGAACACAGAAAGGCCCAGCAGCTATGCGCAGAGGCACTAGGCTCCAGCTCAGCCTTGCTCTGCCAGCCTGGGCTCTCATCACATTCTGTGCTGCTACCCAAAGGCCTCACTCCATACAGCCTGGACAATACATGTCAATACCAACTGAGCCTCCAAAGCACATAATAGCTAGAGTGCAAGTACTGGAGAATGCTACCAACCCCTCTGTAGTCTCTATCCCTGGCTGACCTTGTCCCTACCACACTCCTGTACCAAGCCATCTTTCCCAGCCAAATTTCTGCCAGTTCAGCAGCCAATGCTTCTGCCCTACACTGCCTCTACAGCCCCAGATACTGTGCTGGTCTGTATCCATTTTCCAGCCCCACTCAGAAGACACTCATCCAGGACAGGCAGTGTATCTGTACATCCCCAGAACAGCACTCTGCTCAGAGAGGCACACAAACACAGCAGAAATATCTGGGCATGGACTCTCTGCAGGGGATACTCAGAGTTCTACTTAGCCGGTGTCCAGAGCAGCACACATTGATCACTAACCATTTCTAATACTAGAAGCTTCAGGAATGCCTAGTCCTTTTGAGGGGTTGAATAGCTAGTTGTCTTCTTACATAACCTCCATGTAAGGCTAGAGACCACTGACAGAACAAAAGAATGTTTCATGCTGTCACTGCAAGGGAGCTTCACAGGGATCACATGCACAGCTGTCATTCAGAACACTGGCTACCATTCTTTCTCCACCAAGCTTCTCTATGCACCATTTTATATACACATACAAAAGCATTATATACAGCCATTCACTGGACCTGCCAACAGACTGGATATCCAAGATTCAGAGCTGAGATTTTGGACTGGGTTCCTACTAATGAATGACAAAATGAACCAAGATGAGAAGTATGAACTTAATGATTTTAAAAATCATCCCCAAGAAAGTAGCTTCTTTGCTACATGGTGATATTCCTCTTGCTCTTCTAGTTCTTTGGGGGAAGGGGCTTCTGGGGTACAGCTCTGGGGATTTCTGACCTGCACTGTTAGCTGTACCTGTGTCCACAGACTGGTCACTCAGGAGGTTGCATCTATACTCCTACGGCCCTGGCATTTTCCTTGGCAAACTAGAACTGTCCTCACCACCCTTCTCTCTAAAACAGTGGTTCTCAACCTCCCTAATGCAGTGAACCTTTAATACAGTTCTTCATGTTGTGGTGAGGAAAATTATGTCATTGCTACTTCATAACTCACAGCTTGAGAACCACTGCTCTAGAGCCTTTCCTAACTCCCTCCTGTTGTTCATGCCTTAGTCTTAGGGCAGGTGCAATCACTACACAATCTCCCCATCCTGTTTCCATTTCCTAACTCTGCAGCTACAGTTTCATCTCTGTTGTTGCTACAAGTCTTCAGCACACATCTGACCTGAGCACCCTTCAAACAAGCCCCTTACAGAGCCACCCCTCACTGCACAACAGGCTTCTCATTCTGTAGGCTCCTTCCCAGCAGATTCTCTGGCTCATCTCCAAACTAGCTTAGCCCAATGGGACCCAGTTCTTTTAACCTGCCTCATATTCCATGGCCTTTGTACAAAGATTGCCTAAGGACTTCCTTCTCTATGGTCACAGTGGCCACAGATATCTCACCAGAACAACATACCATTTATGCTTCTAGTGAGTTTCCAAACCCTCTCACCAGCCTGTGGCTAGGTTTACGAGCGAGGTCCAGCTTGCATTCATCTCTGTGTCCCTAGGGTGTAACAAAGTGCTGGCCACAGGAACTTGTTGCTGTTTTGTTTTTGTTTGTTTGTTTTTTTTTTTTTTTTTTTTTTTTTTTTTTTTACTGTCTCCACAGCCAAAGAACCTGTTGCTCTTGGTGAATTAGAAATTTGAACAGACTGATGACACCCAGTCTCCTTACCTTCACACTCTGATGTGGGAAAAAGGGGAGAGTACAAGGCTTTTTCCCACCAGCTCTGCTTTTCTTGATTTCTTGTCACTTCTTGCACATCAGCATTCAATACAGGAAACTGTTTAGATGAAGCCAAACACAGAGCATGTTTATAAACCTTCAGGACAGACAGAAAAATTTAAGCATTACTAAAGGACTACGTAACTAGCAATTTTAGGTTGGTGAATTAAAAAAAATCCTTTTTAAAGCTTTTTGTTGTTGTTCAGGATATGTCAAAGGAAAAAGGCCCATATGCTCATTGTAAATAAAGGAAGCCTTAAGAAGTACTTCAACTCCAAATGGAATAAAAGTCTTGACAAAAACCTCTTACAGACCTACAACAACAGACAGGAAGTTCTCTTAGACTACTGAAGTGCAACAGATGACAGTGGCCTGAGTCTGAGGTGCTGTGGAAAAGAGGGCTCCAACCTTTCCAACTGGAATGTTAAAGGTTGCTCAGACCCTGCTCTCCCTCCTGGGCAGTGGGAACAGACTACAGGAAGCTGTCACTGGTGACCATCAACTCCTTGGAGTGGTCATGAGCCTCACAGGCAGCTTTTGTAGACACATATTCTGGTATGATGGTGGTCCTGCCCTTCATCACTGAGCCTGAGAGGCTTGCCACCAGCTCCCCAGAGCAAAGCCTAGGCTCTCCATCTTTGTATCTCCAGAATCTTAATGCTGTGTGCTTATCAGAATGCCTGTTAACGTGTACAATTTCATGACATCATTTGTTCAAGTTCAAAACCTGAACTGTTTCAGCAGCTAACGACCATTTATTTCCTAACAGGGTTTTGTTGTGCTTTGAACTGTAAATTATTTTATGGGTCTAAAACTGCATTATCTAGTAAGTTTTCAAAAATTACATTTTGAAGTGGGAAATATACTTTAAACCTTTATTTTCATTTAACATAACTTTTCAGAAATAGTTCTAAATTAGGAACTAAAGGCAAATTGTACTGTATGCTCAGAGTAGTCAACCTTTCTTAGTCCCCCTATGGTCTATTCTAATAACACGAGTACTACTCAAGGGCTTGACAAAGCTAAGCTAAATGCAAATAAAACCAATGGTGTACAAGGTCTGCAGCAAAAGTGGGTACTGGCAGCTGATAACAATTTGCAACATCCTTCTCTACTCTGGGAGATGACCTGGTACTTCTTAGGGCAGCAAGGAGGAGTGGCCAGAATTATCTCCATCATTCCACAGTACAACTGAGAGAGAAGAGGGAACAGGTTGCTGAATTCCTATCTGTGAGGTTAGTTGTGCTACTTACAGTCTTCCAATCTCTTGAAATGGGAAGAGACACAGAGTTAATCAAGGAGGATAGGTGAGGTAAGGAAAACAGGTTTGATCAGTCAAGATATCACCCAGGAACTGGGGTACACACCAAGATGTGGTCAGATGTGAAAGCCCAGGAAGCTTAAGGACAAGAGTGCAATCTTGGTCATCTCCGCACCTCTAGGCAGAGTATTGTCTATAGACTACAAAAACTGGCTTCCAGGCTGTCTCTGACTCCAGAGCACATCAAGTCTTCTCTTCACCCTGATGTGGTTCTTGCCAGTGTCTGTCATTATTTGAGGAGTCTTTTCTGAATCCTCCCTTTGGGTGTCAATTACTATGTCTAAGATTCACTGTCTTCTCTTTTATGCTGCAGTAGTCATCCATATTCAACAAGCATGCACAATTTCATGACACCTTTCTACTCAGTTATTCCCAGCTTTTGGGAGCACGAAACTCCACGACAAGTTTGCTCATCTGAGGCCTGTTTAATGTTTAACTCAATGAATGCAAAGAATACAGACAGGGAGAGTCAGGAGGATCACAAACTCAAAGATCACCTGTAAAGTTAATTACATAGTGAGCTCAAGGCCAGCCTGAAATGGGACACAACGGAAAAAGAGAAGAAACTGGAACAGGACAGAACAGAGCAGTGCCATCCATAGGAGCTGCTCCTCTCACCTCCAGGTACATACCCGATTGGAGCTCTGGGAGAAAGCCTACCTAGCTCTTTAACACAGCCAGCTGCTTCCAGCATTCTCAACTCACCCAGTGTCTCATCCAGTTCTCTGCCTTCCTTCAAATGATGCTCATAGCCTCACACAGCACTAACCTAGCATGTTTGCTGTTAGCACCCAAGCCTGCAAGAAAACTCCACAAGGCTCCTAGCAAATGATTTGAGCACCTGCACTAGCACTGAACAGAGTACTGCATACATGCCAAGAACAGGATGATGAAAAGGGAGGGAACGCACTTCACCCAACAAGACTGACCACATATACTTTAGCAACTCTCAGAGGTTCTCCAGAAACTGGAAGTCAAGGTATGGATTCCATAGTGCACACTCCCACTAAGCAGTCTTTCTGCTACAGAGAAAGGTGGTAAGGTTTCCTTTCCTTGGGGTCCAGTGCCCCTTTCCCACTGGTCATTCTTCAACATCACTGGGTCACAAATGGCGGAGAAAGCTTTCTATGGACCTCTCTTAAAGAAACGTCATGTAAACAAGAGAACATCCACTGGAGATTGGAAGGGCCTGCTCTTGCTCTCTGCTTCTGAAGGTGCAGAGCCGGGAGAGCGCTGTCTGATCCTCACTGTGGAATAGGATGGGTCTCTTTTTGAAACATTCCGAGCTACCAGTTGAGAAACTAAGTCTCTGTGGCTGTCTAGTAGGACAATACTGACAAATCTGGTACAGGAAGGATGTGTACCATAAGCCAGGATGACTTCTGCTACCTCTCCAACCTCCAGACTTGCTGACCTCACAGTGTAATGTGGCTGGGACAAAATGAGCTTATCTCCCTTGAAGACAGGGACTACAAACCTGGCTTCTTTTCCATGTTAAAGTGCTTGGCATTAAGTAAGCAAGTAAGAGCCCACAAGAAGATGACACACGTGCCATATTTCTGTGCAAGAGAAACATGAGGTGCACTCTCTGTACTAGTTCTTGCTTTTTGCAGTGATTGGATGGGTTGTATTCAGTCCAGCCCAGGTTCCCTACTTAGCCTCTGCTCACATGGCCTGCATCCCTCTGCTCCTACACATCCAGGTGTGTTCAAAACAGCTGCAGTGTCCATGCCCTGGTGAGGTTCCCACAGTCTCCAGGGCTCCATTTCCACTGTTCCACCTACCATATCACCCATAACTACACTTGCCCTGATGTCCTAAAAGATAAGGAACTATCTTTTAAACTCTGGTAAACTACACATGGGAACTGTTTGAAAAATAAAAAGAAAGGGTGATTACATAAAGGCCATTTCAGTTAAAGGGGAAGCATACCATGTAGAAAATACTCTTGATGGGCTTTACCACAGCTAGCATTACTGAGGGCTAGTGGTAGGAGCCTTTTCATTGTGTGCATGACCTCCTGTAACTTCCTATGAATAGCCCATTTCAGGTAAGATATGTGGTTTACAAACTGGGCTTCTTGCCCAGACTGAACTTCTCACAGACAAGGATGGCATCCCACTCCTCAAGGCCCTTCCCTTTGTGACAGGCTCAAACTAGGCATCAAAATCATGTCTTCCCAGTTTGACTCACCTTTTAAGTACACCCTATTCTTTTCATGGTCCTAAACACTAATTCGTACGGTAGTCCCCTGGTTTCATCCTCTTGCACTGAAGCAGAAGGAATCTTAATAACCTTTACATGCCTACCCATGCCCTCTAGAGCCTAGCTCCACTTAGGCAAAGGCGTCTCTTAGGAACTCCTCATAACTGGCCTGGTGATTGTGATAAGGTAGAGAGACACAAGTCCTAGCCTCAGCCTCGTCTCAAACTGTCCCTTCAAGCCACTCTCGACTCTGCTCCTCAAGTCAGCCTATGAAGTGAGCTCCAACCTGCAGTGATGCTGACAACATGACAGCACCTACACTCTCAAGATGTCCCCACAAGTCCGCTGCAAGCTTAGACCTCTCAGAAAAACCCCAGAATTCTGAGAACACGGAAATACATCAACATACTAGAAAGCGAAGGAATATGGTAGTAGTAGGTGGAATCTTGCTTCTTTCCTCATTTTCTTTCTTCCCAATCTGGAACCAGGTGAAATACAAAGTACATAAAGGAACATTTAAGGAGGAAAATGGGGGGGCAACACAACAACACATAAAGGCTAACAACAATGCTGGTTTTTCCTTAACAGTTCAGAGTTCAGTACTTCAGGGGATTAAACTCAGCCTTTATAGACCAAGGAACATGCTGACTAGAGCAGCAATCTTCAAGTTCCCCTGAGGCTTTTGCAACCACCCAAAGGCAAGCAGTTGCACACCTAGGCGCTATGACTCACATGAGTTAGTGCACGGTGCCCAGCCACAGAAGCCAGGAGCCAAGTAACCTCCCCACCCCACCAAAAAAAGAGAGGAACTCATGAGACAGGAAAACTCCACAACGCAATTTTAAAAAGAAGCAGAGTGCAGGTAAATTAAGAAAAGGGAGAAATTAATGCTACTATGAGGTGAGATGAGGACTGAACAGGATTTAGGGAGGTATCGGTGAAGAAGGTAGATGTGAAGGCCTCACAGGATGGTGGGAGCCAGTGAGTGAGGCAGATGAGAAGATGGGCAACACATAGCCGTCTGTATCAAGTGGTTATGACTTGAGCCTGCCCTCCACACTGTTTAACAACCTGCTTCTGGGAAGAAAAACAGGCACTGCTGTGCCAACCAACGAATCATCAAATAAAGTGGGCAGGCAGCTCTGTTTTTTCTGTGGAACGGCTTATTGCTGTGTCAGTTCTGGTGTAGTCAATTTAACTTCAAGGTACTTCCTAGAAATATACTCAAGGGGGATGATTACTCCCTTAACAAAACTGCTGACACTAACATCACTAGCAGTTCTATGTGAAACTCCCTACTCCAGAGCCCCTTCTCACTGAGCACTGGAAAAGACATTTCACTTCACTTGGTCCATTCATACATGAACCACAACACACTTTAGAAAGCAGTGTCCAGACGTAAGGTATTTTTACAGGGAATACATAGCTATAATAAAACTGATCAACATTCTTTGCTCACAGCTGCAGTCTGGCTCCCTGACTTAAAAGCCAGGATGCTTACATATAGGCCTTATGGTTTATCCACACTGAACACATATTACATAAGAAATTTACATCCTTTGAGTTATTATGCCTTTTCCATGCAGATTCAATTATTTACTTCAAATCGGTAAATAGCAAATCCATTTTAAGTCCTTAAATGTAAACTAAGAATTCTAAGTTCTAAAATGCTTTAGTTAATTTCCCAGTAATTCAGCTCCACTTTTCTTGTTTGATAAGGCTGCTCTTCATTAATGTCTGATCAGATCCCTTATTAAATACTGACACATACCTCTTCCAGTTGTCCTGAAGAAACAGGATTATCTTCACAAGCAGGAAACTGACAACCTGCTTTGCAACTGCAAAAATCATTCATTTCCTCTTCACATTGTGTCATTATTTTACAATTTGCTGTTGAGCTTTCGAAATTTATTTCCAGAGATTCATTAAAGTTACATTCTAAACACTGATTTTGTTTTCCTACTGGCAGAATCCCAGTTGCCTCCTCCTGGGAATCCAGTGACGTCTGAGCACTTTTCTCCATTCCAGATTTTTTTAACCTGGGCAGGAACTTCCCAGACTCAAGCTCTGATTTTCCATAGTAGTGGCCTTCTTTCTCTGCATCTTCTTCTAGAGGTTTGAGATCTGCTTGTGGGTCTTCAAATACATCAACTTGAGAAGGAATGGGAATATTTGCTTCATCTTTTTCAGATTCAAATTCTGACTCGCTTCCTCCTCCAGGGGATAGTTCGGATGCAGAAATTGGGCGAAAGTGAGTCCGAGGAGAGATTCGAATAGCCCTGTACTGTGTCCTGTCGACACCACATATTCTGGGGTGAAAAACCTCACTGTCTGAGTCAGAGCAGAGGATTGATTTCGGCTTAAAACTGGGGCTGAAAGATGCAATCCCTTCTGGTTCAAATGAACACTCTACGTGGAGAACCTGTGAGAGAGGGTTGCTTAGGTCAAAGGAAGAGAATGAATATTCAAGCCCAGGATCTTCAACTTGAAAGTTACCGCAGGCTCCCAGCAAGTCTTCATGGAAGATAAAAGAAAATCCTTTGTTTAACCCATTTTCCCCACTCTTCGGCACATCATTCTGTTCAAATGACACAAAGGGCTTCCAGAGCTGCCTGTGACCAGGAGCAAAGCTGTTTCCAGGGGTCATAAAGACATCTGTACCAGCTATTGTCACGACATCAGAGGCTGCACATTGTAACAAGCTCCCTTTTGTGTGACCAGGTGGTACAACTGCCCATTCCCCATCGCTGTTGAACGTTTTGAGTTCTCCATAAACTCCTCCAAGAATGAATGTGTTCTCTTTATCTTGGGCCACATCCCAAGGTTTAGAGGGTGTGGTGTAGTCACCAACATCCAACTTCGACAGCTCACTAGAGACAAATGCTCTTTTCTCCAGGTTCTCCTTCTGTCCCTCCCAGAGATGATACTCTGACCTCTGCACAGCCCTACTAGGCTCTTGAAGGGCCTCCATCTTAGCATCAGTGTCCAAACAGCAGCAGTAGTTATTTACATCTGTGGAGAACAACTCCTCCCCAGTTCCTTCTGTCTCTACTGCAGCCACAGAACTTCGATCTGCCATCTTTGTCCAAATGTCTTTGATAACCCCTGAGCTGTAGCCATCTCCATGTGGACTGCTTTCACTACATGCTTGTGTAGTTTCAAAGTTCTTATTTTCTGCCTTTTGTTCTAGCTGAATACCACACACAGATTCTAGCTTAGATCTTTTTTTGAAAACTAATGTAGGAATTTCTCCTAAAGTTCTACTGTTTTGTTGACAAGTTTCATCCTGCAAAAAATCTAGAAGTTCTTCATCTACATAATCTGACGAGACTCTGGGAACCACATAATTAATATCTTCTGCAGTAAACTGTGTCGATTCTTCAAACTGAATGTTTAGTGTCTCGTTGTCCGAGCGTGCTTCTTCTGAATGGGACCACGGACTACAAGTTCTTGTTGAAAGATTAGAACAGTGTTCATTTTCTTCAAAGGCACTATTTTTGGTCCATATTAGCAATCTAGACTGTGTTTTCCCCAGCATATTAGCACTAGAATCTGTATGTTCACTTCCCAAGTTGAGTGTTTCAAAAGAAAATGGTAAAACAGAATTACTGCATTGCACTTCAAATACTGAAAAACAAGAGTTTATACCAGATCCTTCATTAATATTGGAAAAGGGCTCTTGATTGCCAGCAAGCATGTGTGAACTGAGTATCGTGCTGTCCAAGATAGGAGAGAGTCTAACTGGAGAGTCTCCTCCAAAACTCTCCCCATCAGCATCGCCTGAACTGGATGAACAACACTCCCAAAACTGAGCCAGATTGCCAAGGTCTTGCAGGAAGAAGCCCTCAGCACCCACAGAGCTGGTAGAATCTGTCCATATTGCACGTTCCCCTTGCAACTCCATACCATCTAACACTATGCAACATTCTGCCTCAAAATCGGTAGTCTCCTTGCTTTTTTGTCGAATCATATTCAAAATCCGACTTTCTCCTTGCATTGTTTCTGAGGCACCAGGATCCAACATGGATTGATCAATATCCACTTCATAGAAGTGTGTTAGTTCTGACAGATGAATATCACCCAGGAATTTATTGTCCTCTGGTAGAGAACATAATGAGGTCCCAGCGAGGTCAAGATCCTCGTTTAAAACTGCAGGCATTTCTACAAAATGACCATCGATGAAAGTACCTGCTGCGAGGTATGTTCTATGGATATTACTGTTGCTGATACACAGACCACGCACAGATTCAGACAAGTCTTCCACGGCCTCTGCTGTCAGAGCACTTGTATCTTCCCTGTTTCGGTATGTGGTCTCTAGTTTGCTTTTTCTACTCAAAGGAACAAAATACTCAGCAATGGGTTCAGTGTACCACAGTGGCTCTTCCTTGTACTCTTTGTTGTTTCTGCTCTCCACATATAGGTCTTTCCCTGCAGTGATCCCGGGGTCACTTCTCCCTGTCTCCTTTGCTGGTCTCTTACCCCGCTTGCACAGCTGCCTGACAGACCCACTGCTGCTGCTGCTGCTGCTGCCGCCACCACCCCCATGGACTCCTCTCTCTGCCTTCTCACAGTGCTTCAGGGACAGCCTGCTTTGTCCATTCCGCCCTTTTTTGTTTCGAATTTCTCGTGCCTTGTGTCTGACTTTAACATACTTCATGGATGTTTTTAATTCTCCCTGATTACCACTTGAACTTGAGCCTGCTTCACTAGAGCCCGATGACCATGAGCGAGGGCGGATCTTCCCTTCAGGTTTGTGCCGGATCTGCTTTTTGTACAAGGCAGGCTTTTCTTCGATGGGGCTGTTGTTCAACCTATTTTCCTTCTCATGTCTACTCCTGCTCTGGGCTTTCTCGTGCATGGGGATGGAGGGGGCACTGCTTCTTTCTCTGATGGCTTCACTCTCACTATTGCAGTCCTTTGGAGAAGATGTATCTGTGCTTGCTGGTGGGGCTGTGGATGATGAAGAGGAGCTAGAGTAAGAACAGGGTTTGGCCTTGTTCCACACGGTCATGATCTCTTGCAGGCAAACTGGTTTCTCAGAAAGTGGTGGAAATGCTTCATAATACCTGCAAAACAGAGGAAGAATTCAAAAGCAAGCTACTTTTTATAGTCACCATATACCCAAAGGCAGCAATGCCAACCTGAGAGGCAGCACTGCAGCTCACACCATCAAGAAACCATTAATTTTAAAGGAATTACCAAACAGTAAACTGTGGTGTGCATTAAGATCAGTCCCACAAATTAAGCACTTTAGCACTGCTTTGGATTGTGAGAAGTACTATGCAAATATTATGAGAATATGTAAGACAGTGGATTTGTCTTCAAAGCTTCAATTTCAACTAGGAAGAAATGACAAAAACAATGTAAGAGGAAGAATTTACTGTGCTAAGAATGTACTGTGTCTGAACTTGAACCTCATCTTGGTCACTTACAGTGCTAGTAACAAGTTCATTATTTATCTTTCAGTCTATTTCCTCTCTGTAAAACAGTGAGCATATAACTAACCTCACAAAGTTGTGAATAGTGGAAATAAGTGGTGTGGAAGCTGCTTACAAATGACTTAGTAATAGAAGCTCTGTAGTCATATCCCCTGGGAGTGAAACCTGGCTCTGCTGCTCACCTGCTATGCTCCCTTAGGTCTATTATACAATCTCTCAGTGGCTCAAAGTGGAAGTAAGAAGAGTGTCTACCTCACAAGCAGGAGTAAAGGAATACTACAAGAAATGAGTCAGAACATCACCTATTTCATGTCCTCACTCCTGCTATACTATCAGAACAACAGCATGGAGCTTGGCATTTAAGCAGGCTCTCAGTAATGGTAGGAATCATCATATTCAAGTGCTCACAAATGCTTAAAAGACCATGGAAAAAGAGGAAATACTTTTGACTTGCTGGAAAAAAATGGCAATTGTTGAAGATTTGAGAGCAGAATAGATCCCCAAAGCAGGTCTAAAGCTATGCTGACTCTTGAGGGCATTGTTCTTCCAGAGACAACATTAAGGCCACACACCAAGGGGCAAAGGCCATGTTTACAAAGCTGCTGAATGCATTAACTGTATTAAAGCTGTATAATACAAATTATTAAAAGTTTTATACATAATTTTCTTTTTTTAGATTAATATTTATCTATATGTATGTGTGTGCCTGTGTGAGTGCCTGGCACATGTGTGGTGTATTACCCAAGGTGTCCAGAAGAAAACATTGAATTCTCTGGAGCTGGAGTGACAAACAGGTGTGAGCCACCTGACATAGGCTCTGAAAATCAAACTCATTGCCTCTGGAAGAGCAGCAAATACTCTTAAGCGCTGAATCATCTCTCTAACCCCATATATAGTTTTCAACATTCTACCAGCCATATTATAAGTCTAAGTAGAAACTGGTGAAATTAATTCTAAAAGCTTATTGAGATTATATTATCACTTCAACATGTAATCGATATTAAACTTATTAATGTGCTGTTTTGTATTTTTTTCATACTATTCCTGATCTCTACTGATAATGTCACATTTATAATACAACCAAATAAATGCAATTTTTCTTCATTAGAGATTGAGAAGATTAAAATAAAATGCATAGCAAGGACGTCTATTTGTAATATAGATTATTTTAATATTAATCACAACAGATGAACCAAAGATACAGGGAACAAGTCTGGTTAGGTCCTGTGTGGGAGATAATGGAAACCAGTTTTCTTGTCTATGAATAGGCATGATCATGATTTCTTATACCTGTCTCAAAGACTGTATGTCAGTTTCAAACATGCTACTACTACGAGTGGTTTTAGTAAACAGCAGCTGTCTCTGTTTCCATCACTTCACAAATAATGACTACATACACATTATAAAACTCGACCATCTTACTCACTTTCGTACTCTCAGTATGAAGCATTTATGTGTTCAACGTGTTTTCTAAATTAAGAAATCATAGAAATGACAGACATGAAAAACATGCAGTAGTCTGGTTTTAACAATGCGTACTTCATGTTTCATAAGTATAGTCGTACATACATTTCCACTTGATCCTTTGCTGTAGGGGACAACTCTGCCTCTGGAGAGGGAGATCCCTCTAACTTTTTGTGAATCTTCTCTTCTGTTATAAACAAAAATTCAGAAAAAGTTTTCACATATCCAATTAATAAACACTATACTTTAAAACATTTCTCAAGTAATTTTGATAAGATACGATATAGAGTTTTGTGCTTACACAAAGAACTCCATGCCAGTGTGCCTCTTTAATAAACATTGACCTACTGAGTGTGCAGAAGGCACTCTTTGGCTAACCCACAGAAGCACCTGGCTGCAGGCTGAGTAAGAGCCCTGTATCTCATCACCAATGGTACTTGGACGCTCTTAACAGAGAGCCTGACATTCCACGTGTACTTATTAATTAGACCAGAAGGACTGAACATCTGTTCAGATTCCAAAAATATTTTCTCACAAAATTCTGACTCATGGACTTTGTATTGACTCATTTGATTAATACTGATCTATAAAGGAAGCTCCTTATTACATTTAGATCTGTGACTTAACACGTAGGTAAGCACATTTGTGCTTTAATGCCAACAGAAACAAAGACTATCCACTGTGCTTGGTCCAGGATAGTGCCTTAAATTAAAAACAAGCTTGTCAATAACAAAAGGCTTCAAGGATGTATGCTGCACAATGACCCCAACAAGGTCAGGAACAAGGTTCCTGAGTTTGCAGCCACTTCCTGTGGTCCTGAAGAGCACACCTGAGGTCCTGTACAGAAATCCAAATGACCAAATGAGCCTGGCAAGTTGGCCTACCCAAAATACTCAAGTGAAGACAGAGGTTCCTTCATGTCTGAGAGGGTACCTGTGGATTACAGCCCTTCTTGGGGAGCAGGGATTTTTCATGTGGCCACTAAAGACCTCCCCAAAGCCTCTTGCACAGCTGAGGGCGACAGGAATGCACCCCGCAGAGCTATGGTGGTAGCCCCAGAGCTCACCTTGCTCACTCTGTAGGTCTTTCAGTCTGCAGCAGAGCTCCTCCACTAAAGTCTCGATTCCAGAGCTCTGTAGGAGACAGAGAGAGTCAGCTTACCACCAGGTACAGAGAAGACACATTTTATGTTACTACCAAGGACACATCTTCCATGTTCCAAAAGGAGTACATTATCAATTCTTAAATGAATCCCAGAGTTCAAAAACAGTCCACTTGTAAAGCCAGCCTAGTGTAAGCATCTTACTAATGAAGACATTTACGTGGGACTTATTGATAAAATGTGGCAATGTGAATTCACCTCCCAGAACGGCTTCTGTTATGCTCAGTAGAGCAGATCAAGGATCTGAGTATCCAAGAGTGGATAAAAGTCAGTCACCCACAAAAACAGTATCAAGATTCTTTGGAATCATGGTTTTATTCAAACTCAACACAACGGTTACAAAAACACCTTAGTCCTCCTCTAGGAGATTAGAGCCTAAAGAAAATAAAGCAGGTACATTTCCTCCTCTTTCTCTTCCTTGCCTCCTTCCCTTTTATTTTTAAAAGTAACTCTCACAACTCCTGCAGAAAGAGTGATACAGAACAAGGTCAATGCTGAAAACATACATGGAAGCTCTAGGTCATTTTAAAAGACAGACACAACTATTGCGCTATAGAGAAATGTAAGAGGGCCCGTGGTGGTTAGCTGGTGGTAAAGGTGCTTGGCACCAAGCCTGACAACTGGAGTTCAATACCTAGGACCGACATGGTACAAGAAAAGAATAGACTCCCATGAGTTCCACTGACATGTGCATACAGGGAAGGAGAGAAAGGATCTGGAACTGATCTTTTCTGAAACTTTCTTGAACTGAGGATAAAAGGAGTCAAACCTCAAAGAAAATGTGCACTGGAAACAGAAACAAGCACATGATCTTTTACTCATTCCAAATTCTCAACTTTTTTTGCAAAAAAAAAAAAAAAAAAAAAAAAAAAAAAAAATGTAAATGGAAAAAAAAAAAAAAAAAATAATCTTTTACTATTTCAAAATTCTAAAATTTTTTTAAAAAAAAAAAAAAAAAAAAAAGAGAAAAAATCTTGTACAATGGACGGACAAGTAACAGTGTTTCTTAGAAATTTTGGATTTAGTCAGTGACAAGTTATGTTCGGGTGGGATCTTGTCTCTTTGAAAGGATACAGCTGGGCAGATGCACACAGAAGAGCTGCCAGAATCCCTGTGTCTCGGCTCTGCTCTGCACCTCCAGGGGCTAAAAATAAATTTTACCCATTCGCTGAACTCAAAATGACTCAGCAAAGTATGGCAAATATCCCTTAAAAAAAAAAAAGCTCCCTTATAGAGTGTTAGTTACAAGAAAAAGACTACAGTTAGGAAGGTAAATTGTAAATATCACAGTTTCTTTCTATCTACAAAATGTCCCAGTCTTTAAGAGGGAAAAGAGAAAACGGGTCAGAGGACAGCTGCAGCTGCCTCTTACAGCTCTAAAATGCAGGCAGGCAATAAGGTCAATAGTAATAGACTGCACAATCCCATTGTTGAGGTCTGCTTACCATAATGGTTAAGGTGTGAGGAGGCCGGCAATTACAGTCTTATTTTCTCCAGGATCCTGAAACTAACACGGGTGTCAGCTGACACGCCGCATACTGTCTTGTACAACAAGCCTGTGTCACTGCTTGCAAACCTGGAGCTGTCTCCAGTGCAGAACGTGGAACCTCTGGGGACTGCTTACAAACTCCTTACAACCTCTAAAACAGGCTACCATTCCCACACCTGTAGAATGGCCATGACAATTTGTGAGCAGGGGATTCATGCTATCTTGTAGTCAGTATAAACTAGTTATACATGCAAGCAATATATCATATACTATCATTCATTCATAGTGAGAGTATATGCATATATATACATATACATATGTATATATATACATATATATATATATCCCTTTATATAAAAATACCTATGTTTTAAAATACATGCAGCATAAGAAACAGTGCCTTACTCCTTCGTGTCTGTGAATCAAGATTTACTGACAGGCTTCTGTTTTCTTTCCTTAGTTACTATGCTATCCTACATACGCGCATGCACACACACACAGAAATACACACACCTCCATGTACATGTTTTTTTTTTTTTTAAATAGTATTAGGGACTGAACCTACTCTAGTTATTTTTTTTTAATAATCATTAGGTCACCATGGTATCCTAATAACAAAATGAGAAGCATAAAGGCATCCAAAGCTGCCAATGTACCATCGTGTGCTGGCAAATAGTCTATAGTTTATTTAAAACTGCTACTAATGAAATCTCCATTTCTACCTATGATACAAGCTATTAAAATTTTTAATAATTATATTTTAGTAGTCTATCATACCCATTGGAGTGCTGGAAAATACATAGCTAAAAGCATCTTTAAAAGGGACAAAGGTTAGTGTGTACCTGTGTTCTAGAAACCCTACAGGAACCCCTGTGGACAGAAGACGCTGTGGCTCTGCTGTGGCACTCTGCCTGGCCTCTCCTTACTATGATCATCCTCATCCATCAAATGTCCCAAACCTGTGGGAAGTGCTCTGCAGAGCAAGAGCACTCTGAACTGCACAGGGGAGAGTCATATGAGGACCTATGTAGAAGGCAGCCCCTGGAAGCATCGCTGGACACTCAATGGACAATCATGAACTCTCACCCAGTGAACAAGTGGTACAGGTAGCCTACATGCCAGGTAGGTCACATGGAGAAGAAGGACCTGTCCTAGAAGTCACAAGGTACTATCTCCTACTTTTCTGGGAACAGAGTTAAGTGGGATGGATTTGCGATTGGGGTCTCCACGCCTGCCACACACATGTAAATCAAAGGAAATCAAAGGATATGCCCATTGCTCTAGCTCTATAAAGCCAAGAATGCCTCCAGTCTCTCTCAAAGTTTACCTAGTTAACCACATAGGCGATGCACCTATCAGAGCCCATTGCCACCCAGGACCCTTAAGTATCAGTGTCATTTCTAAACTGTGTATGTTCACTCCTTCAAAACAGCGTTCAGTGACTGATAACCTGAATTTGAAGGCAGACCTGAGAGGCTGAGTTGGGGCACTATCAGTGTCAGCCTGTGCAACAGGTAAGGCTGCCTCTAGCAGACAAAGTATCCTGTGGGCTGCTCTCCACCGCCTCCTTGGCCTGGTCTCAGCCTCTGTTCTCCTCTGCTGGTGACTGCATGACAAGGTTACGTCTTTTACTCAATGATGCAAACCGAATTTGCTCACAGCTTACAGCTGCTGCTTTTAAGAGGTTTTCTTTGTCCCTTGCTTCTAACCCCACAGCATTTTCTGACATATCCCACTCTCCATGAATCCTGTGTTTCTTCTCAATTTGAGGCTGTATCAGTCAGGTATAGGTGACTAGCCCGGTCTCATTGTCTGCCTTCTCCACACCCAACGACTTTGTAACTGCATTAAGAATCTCTCTCTCTCTCTCTTTTTTCTCTTTAGGCATCATCAGTTTATTATAAAAGGGAGGCAATGAAATTATTTACAGGATGAAATAGTTCAGAGCATCGGTGGAATGGGCAGCTTCATGTGACACCATTTCAACAGTGATTTCAATCCACAAACTTTCCAAGAATGTCACCATCTCTAAATAAGAAGTAATCCTTGTCGTCTAGACTTTGGTGCCTCCATACTCTGGGAGAAGAACTTTGTCTCCAACCTTCTCACTGACCACCTGAATCTTTCCACCCTTTCCTTTTGCACCTGATCCCACAGCCACTGCTGTTGTTTGCAATACTTTTCCTTGAGACTTTTCTGGAATCATTATGCTACCTTTAGTTACAGTTTCGGTGGCACTCCTTTCAACCAATACTTGGTCAAAGAGCAGAAGGAACTTTCTAAAAGCTTGGCCAGCCATGATTTGCCACCGCAGATCTGGACTCTACTGCCACTGCAAGGAGAGTCCTGCAGTAAGAATCTTAAGATGATCTTTTCATGAAGAACTCACTAGATAGTCCCCAAGTGTGAGCTGGGTAACCCTAAGCCCTACTAGTAAGCAGCCAGTATGAAAGCACATTCCTGTTTTCTTTTTCAAGACAGGGCTCTGTGTAGTCCTGGCTGTCCTGGAACTCAATATATAAACCAGGCTGGCCTCAAACTCACAGAGATCTACCTGCCCCTGCCTCCCAACTGCTGGAATTAAAGATACAGGCCACTACCACCCAGCTGAAAGCACAGTCTTCACTTTCATTTGAATATGGCACAGTGAACTAACTCAAAGAGAGCTGGGTCTAAAGCTATGGTAAGCTATATGACCCCACATAAGCCACTTACCTATCCCAGCCTCAGTGCCAGATCTGGAAGACAATCGCAGTAGCTGATTATTGGATTTCCTATACTGGGTGGCCCCTCACCTCCTTGTTCCTTTGTTCTCCCTAGTGCCATAGCTGCATACTCCAAGCCTTCCATTAAATCTGTCTCATATTTACTGTCATACTTAGAATATAAGAGAGGGCCTTGTCTCTTGCTTATTCTATTTTTCTGATGTTGAATCATCCTCCCGTGAGCCAGTGTCTGGCCAGCAAGCAACAACAAGAGACAGGTAGTCTCGTGCTTTTTTCTCAGTGGAGCTCAGTATCTCACAACCAGACTCTCTTTGGTCTCTCCAGAACATCAGTGCCAGAAGGCAGCCCCTCACTCCAATACTTGAAGTGAGTCATGCCATCCAGCACTTGCTCCTTAGTATGCACCCCCCCAAGTGACAGAACAAAGTAATGTGCTTTTAGAATGTCAACTCCTAGCTCCACAGAGCATGCCTGCTAAGGCACCAGCCCTGTGAGGACAGGAATCATTGCTATCCCATTGCAGCTGCATGAAACCACGAACAAGACCAGCAGAATTTCCCAGCAAACTCCACTAACCTACAGAGCTGAATCAAATATGGCAGTTTCAGCCCCACTCTGCACAGGATCTTCTTTAATTTTTATGGATTAGAATCTGTAATTTCTACAGCAGAGCAGGAAGGAGAATGGAAAGAAACTCAGGTAAAGTATGGAAAGAATGGCTATGGTAACACTTCACTAGAGAGCCAAGGACCAGCT